TTAGTTTCCTTATCGGGTGATTATTTTTCACACTAAGTCACAGGGAAGATTTTTAAAGAAATCCATCTTTTTGTCTTCTAACTTCTCGAAGTGATATCTTCAGTATTCGGCAATTAGTGGGCGATTCTGACTTGACATTCAGAGTTGTCCTGTTCAAAACTGTACTAAATTCTTTTCTTTGGTTTCTACTATTTTCCCCGTAATCAGTCCATAATTACACGTAAAGTCTAATTAAATATACTTACCGAAAAAGAAAGTACTATTTATTTGTTTTTTTTGTGCGCAATGACCAAATATCTACTCAATCGAAGTTCCAATTACGGTAGGTACATGCTTAAAGGGCAAATTTAAAGCAAACGAGCGTATATGATTTCCCTAAAGCAAGATCGCCCAATACAAATGAATTTGAAACAAAAAAACCTGTCATATATTAAGTGCATAGTGAAAAATATGCATTGCTGCTTTTAAGGAAAATTAATGATTTAAGTGTTTAGTTTAAAAGGTGACCCCTAAGAACCGAAATAGCAAAGCTCCAAATGAGCGTTTTTGTCAAAAATACAACAAAATTTTTAATTCGACTTTTGATCATATATCTATTTCTGGAATATTGATCAAATTTCTATTTCTAGATTATGATATTTCAAGAAAACTTTTTAAAAATAGGAGTTCATGAAATAATTGCGCTGAAAATTGCATAAAACCCGCATCCAGTTTCAAGCGGTAATAATCGATTATATTACGATTTTAGTACCGGTCTTACTCAAATTGAGAAACAATCGATTTTAATCAATTAACAATCGATTATAATCTCTCTTTTTAAGATCAAATTATAATTAATTATAATCCATTATAATCAATTATAATCGATTATTTATTCGTCCATGTTTCGATACAATTATAATCAATTATAATTGATTCTAATCCATTATTTTTATTCAAATTTCTGATTCATTAGTTTCCACAAAAATCCATTATAATCGATTGTAATTGATTATAATCTCTTTTGTTTGTCCATTTTGTTTTCAAAGTTGCATCTAAATTGCTTATATTTTTATTGTTTTTTGTAGACGTTGGTTCCTACGAAAAATGAGAAAAATGTTTTTAAAGTTTTCCAATCAATTCAAACTTATAATTGTTTTTTTCTTTTCTTCCCCATTGGAGTTGTTTTGTGATGCATATTTTAAGTTTTGTAACCACAAAAACATCCGCAAGTTGTTTTAGTTTCATGATTGATTCGGAAGATTTATTTTTTATCTACCGCAAGAACTTTTCCACTAATATGAAAGGATATCTATGAAACTTTTGTTTCGAGGTAAAATTTTGTGTTCAAATGAACCAAAGTGCTCAAGAGATTTCTCTTTTAGAGAATCTCTTATTGACACAAAAGTAATAACCCATAGATATAATTCGAATGTAGTACTGAATTGAAAAAATTTTGGCAAAATAAGAGACTATAATCTATTATAATCGATTATAATCGATTATAATTGGTTCTAAGGGTTTTTTTCTAAGAACTATAATCAATTGTAATCGATTGTAAGAGATTATAACCTCTAGGAAAATATCACGATTATAATCAATTATAAATTTTTTAAACACCTAATTTTGGAAATTATAATCACTTATGATTGTCAAAAAATCATCATAATAATCCGTTATAATCGATTATTTACGACTAAACTTGGTTGCGGGAATTCTTATCAAAACACGAAGCATATCATACTTAGTTTTTTAATTTCGATCAATACAAAAATAGATCCAAAACTTTCTTTAGCTAATCGAAATTTCAAAGAATTTGGAGCTTGAATTTTGCTTAAAAAATGGGGTGCGTAAGAGAAGAACAAAGTAAAAGATGCCGACCTCCCCTCACTCAAGGATTCTGCCGTCCAACCAAAAGGTTTTCCTTTCGATATTATAGTACAAAATCTTTTTTTGACGAATGACCCTAAAGTTTCCTAACGAGGAATTCAGCGCCAATATATGCTAATATTGAGGAAGGAGCAGATCCAAAAAAACAACGCAATTTTTTGGTCAAAAGAATGCTTAAAATTTCAAGCTCAAACTCCCCCTCTTTCGAAAAAACTCATGCTCCTCGTCTGGTTGAGACTGTTTCTTTGTAAAAACCTGGATCCCAATATATTTTCCTAAAATCTGCTTTTAAGTATTCCGCACATATTAGAAATATCGTGCGTAGATAATTTTATTTTTGTGACGAAACTTCCGGCTTACCGCTGAATCAAATGAACCAACTTGTGTACGCCAAATGAATCTTGAACGAGATTTTTGCCCGCAGATTTAACAAAAAGTGTATAAGGAAACGCCTCTGGTGGCGAGGGGTTGAAAAAATCATAGCTCTGCTTGGGCAGGTTGGCTCTTTTTCCTTTCCCCCCCCCCACCTGCAATTTTTTATATTTGAAGTTACTGTTCACTTTGTTCGATTGTTATGAAAATTGACAAGCAGACTAATTAGGCCATGACAAACATATTTGGTCTTCATAATTTACCTTGTAAAACCACTCGTTAGACCATAAAATTCATGTTTAAGTGAGGTGGGGGGAAAAGGAAAAAGAGCCGGCAGGTTTAAAGTAGAAAACGCCATTTAGAGAAAAAAAAATTAATCAAAAATTGTCGAACTAGAAACAAGGGTAGCCGGTTACTGTGCAAGTAGCACAAAATATTCTGACCATACTCTAAAAAAATCAACTTTTTAAATTGAACTTTTATTTCAAACTTTTAAACTATTTTATGTTTCAAATTAGTGTAGTTTTTCTGTATGGTGTGATAAAAGGATTTGACACAAAACTATAATTTAGGCATATTCGACAGTCATAACAATATAGGCAAACTGGACAACAGTTTTTGAATGAAAAGATTGAAAAACAAAAAAAAAAATTTTTTCAATTTTTTTGCGGAAATTTTGGGATTGTTTGAAGTTTTTGATTTGAATTATTTAATGTGGTTCCAATCCCGACTGAAAAGGCTTTAAAATGATATATCACTCAACAGAAAGTAGCCCAGAATGTTCTGACCACAGTCATAGAAAAATACAAAAAAAAAAAATTCAAATTAGTGTCAATTTTTTCCGCTTGGTGTGATAAAAAATCTGAACAAAAAAAAAGAATTTAGGCATATTCGACAGTAATAGTAAAAAGGCCATTCGGAAAACATTTTTTGAACAAAATTGACCATAAAAACGAAAAAAAAAATGAAAAAAAAATTGAAAAAAAATTTAAAATTTTATTTATTAAGTAAGGGGAATTAGAATCTGACTTATAAAAAAATTAAATATTGTTTTCTAGTCTTTGCGAGTAAATTTGTCGCCGAAATGTTTGGGGTTTTAAAACTTTGTTCACAAAAGGGCGCCAAAAACTCCAAAAACTACTTTTATATGAATGCAACTAAGTTTTCACGGCTTAAAGTAAGCTTAAATAACCTGTTGTAAGCCTACACGCTCGCACCATATTATGTCAAAATTAGACCAAAAATCTAAAATTTTGAACCGGTTTCTCTCAAAATTGTGAAAAGTTTTATGAAATATTTCAATGTCGTTCAAATCATGGTTGAAAGGGCTTTAATATGGTATATCATTCGACCCATTCCGATATTTATCTGTGGTACCTGATTTTGCGTGGAAAACAAAAAGAAAAAAAACTAAAACACACCCGAATACAAAGTTCCTCCCCGTTTTTCAAATGGTCGGAACAAGAACTAAAACACACCCGAATAATTTTTTTTCCATTTTCAATGGTCGGAACATCATTAATAGAACTGTTGAAGGGAACTCTGAAAAGTCAAAGATTATCATGCGAGCAGTCTGGTTCAATTTAATTTTGAATGTTCAACTTTGCTGCATATTGCGGCTAAAATTTAACCACTTCTTCTAATTATACAGACTGATGAAACTGCCGTAAGCCTCCCCCTGCTTGGAACGCAGCTATATATATTTTTCATAGTTTTGCTTGAAGTTAATGCTTGAAATTAATTTTCTGAAAAATGAGGGACGTATTAAAAATGTTTTTTTTTTTGTTCTCATTACTATACGCTCAATTTGGATATTTTCGAGCATGTTTTCTGCCTGTTTATGAGTTGCGTTCAACAAGTTAAATTTAAAAATCAAGTTCAATCTTTTATTATCTAAAAACGTATAATTCTAAGGTGTTGCGAAGGGCTTAGATGCCCAGATAACGATGAGAATGAACACTTTGAGTGCAATTAAATTCAAAAAGCTTGTTTGGAGAATTTTTTTAAACATATTTGCCAATAAAATATTATTTCACCCCCCGCCCCCCCCCCCCCACCCTTTAAAAAAAACCTTGACAAAAATGGCTCATGATCTCTGAAATGCATGCAAAAAAGTAAGGAAACAATAACAAATAATTTTTTAAAGAAAACATTAATTTTTTTCCGTAACGGAATACTTCGTTTTCAACGATTAATTTGAAACATTTATCTAATCGGCCTCATTGTTCTTTCTAAAAACTGACGCAATAAGTATCCCTAAAAGCTTCTCTTTTTTCCCTGTGTCCCAATACTTTCGCCTGTGCAAAACTAGCGCGCAATAGAAAGCCTAAAAGCAAACAATTATCCTTAACCAACCAGCATACTTTGGCAGACATTTAAATTTTTCGAGTTTTTAAGCTCATATAAAACTTGGGGTTTTCAATTTTTTTTAGCTCCAAAACGAGTTAAAGCAAAACTTTTCTATTCGTGGACTGAGCTAGAAAAATTCAAACTCCTGATCTACAACAGGGTTTGGCAAAAGCTTCAATATATCTTGACGTTTTCTATTTTTTTTGGGCATTAAATCAAGGGCTGATCCCGGCGTTTCTCGAGGGGTCGTTGTTTTAATAATGTTTGGGAGTTTTTGGGAAGTTGTGGAAATTTTTTTACTTGTCGGGCTCTCCTTAAACGGCAAAAAGAATCAATTTTGCCAAAAGTTCTGCTTCTATGATAAAATACTGCAATAGAAAAATCTGGTTCCCATTGGAAGTTTTACTTACGTGATTCTAGTAAGAAGATCTGGTTGTTTTTAGTTAAAATTTTTTGTAGATGCCGCTTTTTATGTTTTCTTTTTTACTTTTGACAATTTTTCGGCTGTATCAATAACAAGAGCGGTTTTATCTGATTTTGATTTTGTAAGTAGTGTTCAAAAATGATAATAGAAATTGACAGTTGGTACGATGGTCGAATAGATTTTCAGCAGTGGATAATCTCCTACTTCAGAAATTAAAAAAAAAACAATGTTTACTTTATGAGAGGATAAAAAAGGAAAAACAATTCGACCAATCAAAAAACATCGCATAACGTTACCCATCTTTTCCCAGTACTTCAAAATAGATCCACTCCTCTAGCTTAATATTTGTTTAACTTTATTGTTTTTTCACTTTTGCTTAGCTTTCCAATTCTTTTAGGAAAACCATCGTTTGTATTCAAAATACTGTCTTGGTTGATTAAGTATTTTAATATCTGATTATTGTAGTCCTACCGTGGCTGAAGTTATTGTCTTTTAAAATTGCGAATGAATGTTTCATGAGACAGATCTAATCTGATGAAGAACTGAAAAATAAACAGCTCATAATTTATTCACAACCGATATACTCGTAACGGTGTATGGCTTGCTGAAGATTCAATGACCAAAATACCGGGGGAATAAAATTTGGACCGTAGGTAGTCATACTTAATGAAAAAATTTAGAAATTAAAACCCTGAAAGCGGTTTTTCCGTTTTTTTCTGAGACAATGATTGTTTTTTTAAATCAATCAAGTTGAGAAAAAAAGATAACCAATACCTGAAATTTTTTTCTGAAATTGAAACCCAAATGAACTAATTTCCAGACTTTCGAAATCACAGCGAAGCTAATTTTCATTGCCTGGACAGGTTTTTAGAGTCACGAACAAAACTTAAGCATGTCGTATGACTGTCGCAATAATGTGGAAACAGGTAATATTGTCTGGGATTTAGTTGCGATGGTCTAGAAATTAGTCTCAACTGCCTGCAATTAAATCGCGAAAGCCTGAAATTAATGGCAATAGTTTAAAATTTAGTCGTGATAGTCTGAATATAATGTCTCGAATGTCTGAAAACTAATCGCAAAAATTTAGCAACTAAATTTTTTTGCGGGAGTCTGGACCTAAGATTGTGGAGTTACAAAAGGTGGAGACAGCTACAAAAAGTCTTAAACAGGAGTCCTTGAAACAATTTTTGTAGGTATAAAACGCTGGTTTTTTAAGACTTGGCACCATAACGAGTAAATTTGTAAATCTGAAAATCAAGGAAACAAAAACCACAAATTAAAATAAACTTTTAGAGGTGACAATTTTAAAAATTCCATTTTTTCTTCATCCTTTTTGACTGAACAGTTTTGGTCGTTTAGAATGATACGAATTGTTCTGGAATGGTGTGTGCAATTGTTCAGTTCCATTGAGTACAGAAAGTTGTTGTCTGAATTATGGTTAAATCCAGTGCTTTCAGGGGTGGATTGTTTGTTCTGTCTTATCCTCTATGTCTCACACTGCGGCCCTGCCGTGTTGCCTCTGGGTAAAGAGGGGGGACTAAGCTTCCGACGAATCTGATTACGGCGTATTTTTCAGCGAAACACCTAGCTGTCAAACACGAGCAGTATTGCCGAGCAATGAGGATGGTGTCTATTGTCGTCTGTACAGTATCCGCGGAGTACCAATGAGAGGAATAATTTTCTTTTTCAAAGCCGGAGCCATGATCCAGTTTTGATTCGACGCTAGCCATCAGGAGCGAGCTCGATTGATGTTATTGGATGCTGTTCCAACAGAAGTCTCGACCAGAATGAAAGTGTAGTTTTTTATACAGTTTAGTTTTTGTTCAGATTTTTGTTTAGGTCGCGTTGGTTGGGATAACTTTCGAGCTAATGTTACCTGAATTACTGATATTTTTGAAAATTTTACCAATAAAAACTATTTCAACTGACTTTTTCATTTCGATCAAGTCGTAAAAACATGTGTATTAGTAACTTTACCATTTTTGCCACGCAAATTCAGTTACTACAAACAAAAGCCGATACCATTGAGAAAAAACACCCTATCATGATCCTATCGTTTTCAATGTTTTTTAAAATCAATTCTATAATGAAATTCAAAAAAATTTAGGTACGAGAAATTCGAATGGTAAGTTTTGGTTCTCAATCCAATTTACAGCAAGTAAAGTTGGTTCTTGAGAAAAATTTTGTAAGCCCTTTCCTTTTCTTAGGGATAACCTCTAAAATGCCAGATCTGTAAAAAAAAACTTCCGCTAACTTCTTTCTTAAGTCCCATTTAACATTAAGCAACGTATTATATAGATCAAATAGCATAGTCAATTCAATTTGGACCCATTTCAAAGATGGATTAAATCTCCGCTTATGCTTTAACAGCTCAAAATATATCGCGCATGAACTATCCAAAATGGATCAAATTGGCAATCTTTAAATCTCCAATACTTTTTAAAAACTCATAACTGGTGAAATATATTTTTTTAAAACTTGAGCTCATTGCAACACTATCTTTTGGCTGATATAAAATTTTCGTCAACAATGGCGAATTTAGTTGAGGAGTCGAAATTTATCTGGAGAAAAAACAAACCTTACCACTAAAATTTCGCCACTTTCTTCAAAAGGCGGAACAAAATCGAAGCTTTTCTACTGTTTCGAAACTTCTGCTAAAAACAGAGCACTGTTTCAAGTGTTTCATGATGAAAGTTTTGAGACAATTTTTGAAAAGCTTAAAGTTTGACGTTCTTAAAAAATCTGTAACTGGTTTATTGATCACAAAACTTTTCCATTAAAATGTTCCGTTTCCTTCAAAAGTCGAAACAATAAGTCTATGAATGCAATGGCGGTCTATTTTAATCTGTTGAGGTTGAATCTTGGATGTGTCCAGAATGAAATTTCAAAAAGGAGATACTTAATTTTACAAAAGATTGAAACGCTTACCTTTGTTCATTCACATTTCGAGTGGAGTTGTATTGGTCACAAAAAATTAGGTGTCTCTAGATGGCTACGCTCAATTACTGAATTTTTCATCTTTTAAAACTTTTTTGATCGCTCGAAGTGCTAGCAAAATCTTTCCATAACAAGTGATTCTTAGAGGTTTTTCAAACAATCTTTCAATATGCAAAAAAAGAGATGGCGCTGAACTTTTAATTTTTTGATGCTTAAAGCAGAAGCTTAAGAGCATTTAAAACAAAATGTTTACAACCTGTATCTATTTAGAGTTAACTTCATTTATTAAATCCGAACAATTTTGTCGTGCGGAAGCAAATCAACCACAGCAAACATTCTATTTTACACTTCGATATATGATGACTGGGGCTATTTCAAGCTTGATTGGGTTGACCCCTGCTCATTTACTTTGTACAAGCAGCTCAAATTTTTAAACTTTAATATAGCACGCTTCAGACTGCTTCAGCCAATTCACAAGGATTTTTCCTGGACAAACGCGCTAGAACAGTCTCGGAGGTCAAACTGATGTCATTTTTTTTAAATTCTTTTTGGAAGATTATTTGCTTTTTCCAAGCAATCAACGTTGAAAAACTTTGATCACACCTTTGTACTATTTTGAGATATCCGTTTTTGGCTGACTGACCCTAAAAAAATTCTACAAGCATCTCCGGACCCAAAATATACTAATTTTGAGGGGGGAGCGGGGCGCCGAAAAAACGCAATTTTTTGGTCGAAATTTTCCAAGAAGTTCCTAAAAACGCCTTTTTGCCTGTTTGTTTGACCTTAAAAAAAGAAAAAGTTCGACGAACAATTTTCGATGTACAATATCGAATTTGCCATATGTACAATTTTGCAAAACACAGTTAAGGGTGTGCATTTTTTAAGGGAGATTCAACTATATTTTGCAGGCTTGACTTGATCTAAATTTTAGTAATGCACTTCGAAGAAACTATTTTAAAAAAATTAGAATTTTTTTGATAAGCTAAAATAATTTTCATAGTAGAAAAATATATAGTTAAGCAAACTTATCAACCGATGTAACTTCAAAAGTTCAATTTGCTTCGACAGTTCAAATAGGAGTAAAACAGGGTACCAATTTTTTCAAGCAAGATAATCTTAAGGCTGAAAAAAGAACTACATAGTTTGCAGTTCGTCGGCTGAAATTTTTTTTTGCGAATTGTGTAATTACCCTTATTTTGGCAAGGAGACTTATCAAGGAGTCTCATGGCAAGGTGACTTATCGGTGCGATCGTGCAATAGAGCGAGGAAGGCCAGAATAGTCGCAGGAGGGGTTCCCGATTTGCAGTGTGAGCGAAGCGAAATGGAGCCATTCGTTGAATACACAACAACGAGATTGAGATAAGGGAAAAACACAGCAGAGTCCACAAAGGCGAGATCACAGAGGAATCGACGGAAAGTGAAGATCAACACGAAATTGAAGAAAATGTTGAGATATATATGTATACATATCAGAACCGAAAAAAAGGTTCCAAGAATTTACCCAAGGGATATGTGATGGTGCTATTGTTATGTTTTGAGAGAGATCTCGTTTTTACGCTAAAGGTCAATGTTCACACTAAAGGTCAATGTTCTAATTGATGTTGTCTGATGCTTGGTTAAACTGTGTTCGGTAAGACATTGTTTAGTTGTCGATACGATTTGATCTGAAGCAAAATGTTTTAAGACTGAACATTAATTGAAAACAGGGGCGGATTTAGGGGGGGGGGCGGGGGGGCGGACGCCCCCTCCTCAGGGATTCGACCCCCTGCCGACCCAAAGGGTCCCCCCTTTGATACTTTTTCAGAAATCCATTTTTGGCCGACCGACCCTAAAATTTTTCTAAAGGCGCCTTTGGCGCCAATATATACTAACTTTGAGGGGGAGCGCGCGCCAAAAAAAACGCGATTTTTTTGTCAAAATTTTTCAAAAAGTGCCCAAAAACGGCTTTTTTGACTGTTTTTTCAGAATTTGCCTGCGGCGCAGAAAATTTAGCCAAAATGGGGGCAAAAAAGAGAGCTCCAAAAATCAATTTGGTCGACCTAAAAAAAAGGTCAAAATTTTTGAATTTTTTTTGAAAATCCGCCCCCCCCCCCTCGAGAAAGTCCTAGATCCGCCCCTGATTGAAAACAATTGTTTTTTTAATAATTTCCAGGAAGGTGTTGAGTAACACCTTAGTTGGGTCGAACATAATCGACTACATTTTATTGGTATAGAAAATTGATGTATACATGAGTTCGGTCAAAATGATTAAACATATCTTAATTGGGTCGAAAAAAATTAAGCATAATTTTTTCGGTCGAGAAATTCCAACCATACCCAGTTAAGGCCGAGATGGTCAAAACATACTGATTTTGGTCGAAACGGTCAAAACAAAAGACCAGTAACTTGATCCGGGTTGTCTGGAACCTGAAAAACATCCATTACTGCAAAGTAGCATGGATTTT